GATCTCACGGTCCTACATGATCAAACAAAAAAGGATCCTGGAACTCATCCAGTGGATGCGACTGTATCGGTCCTACATGATTTTGACTGTATCTCAAGACTTGACTGTCGTTAGTAGAGTCCATCTGAGGACCCATGTTTTGACAGCCAAACGGCAGGTAGCCTTTAAAGTCCTGTGTTTACGAAAGTAAAACGGCACTGTTGAAACAATCGCAACAGTGTACACCATTATGTGTACATCATGTACACCTGATGTTTGGCCATGCTGAGGTCAAGGAACATCGATGAGGTTGACTACTATTTGAGAAAATGGTCATGTCAGTAGCCAAGCAAGAACAAAATCCAATTCCTCAATATCTTCGATTAAGTGTCAGTCTAAACTAATCTCTCTTCTCTAACTTCTTACATCCTAAGCAGACCCACCTGGATTGGTTGCCTTCCTATAGCTCTTAACGAGCAAACTGCAAAAGCGCATCACGTGGAACAGCTGAGGGACATGCTCCAGACCGTCATCACCACGAAACACAACAGGAAGGACCAAACCAAGGTCTTGGCCTCAAGCTGCTGGCACAGTGCTGGCGCGGGATAGGGAGTTGGAACTTTAGTGTGTTGGCTTGGTTGGCTCGAACTAGCTAGCTGTGTACACACAGCATGTCATTGTGTCCTTTGCCAAAAGGTAACTATCTGTTGACATCAGCACTTTGGCCAAACCACCCACCCTCATCCTAAGTCGCATCTCTTTTCTTTGGACAGCAGCTCGAAGAACGGGGCGGGCTTGTCTTGTCAGAGTGACCAATTTTGCGAGCCAGTACTGCAATCAGCACTCACCCAAGACAATCTCCAAAGACTATATGTTGACCGGCTGAAGTAAAGGAATTTCTTTTTCAGGTCCCTAAAGACAATTCTTTTTATAGTCTTTGACTCCCGGGGTAAACTAAAAGCCTCCGCAGTCAGCACCCATCCACCCGAGTCCACCCAAGTCCAGCCATTCTACCACCCTGTTTCACCACCAGCCATGAATGGGGAGAGGGCATGAGAGGGTGACGCATTGAAACACCATCCAAACAACTCTATCAAATCCAACGACAGCTGGAACTCATCAAGTTCAACAAGCTAAGTTCAGTTGTTTCAAAGTAAGTACAGTAGTACGACTTGGAACAAGAACCTTACATTTACAACAACCAGGCAAACACAAAAACCACTGGAGAAAAAATGAAGCAAAAACAAATCATGACCTGTACATCTTTGAAGATCCCCACCCAGGCACACAAGTGGTCATCATGGTCGCTAACTTGTGCAGCTCTCGAAGGCTTCGCAGCTTCCGCAGGAAGCGCGTCAAGCGCAGCACCCGACCCAAGCGCAAGGCCCGGGCCACGCTGATCCCGCCGAGTGAGGCCTCGCTGGCGGGTCGGTCCGGTGGGGTCGTCCGTCCGGTTGTGAACGGATTGATCGAACGCCCACGAGTAGATTCTTGGTTCAACCACCAAACTAGTGATTCTGTGTCAGCAAGATGAACCATATAGCCATATACTCCACAACAAAGAGGTTATGGGATAAAGACATGGTATCCCACACCCCGCCCTTAACTCAAAGATCCCCAGTGGCGTGCGTGCAATCCAGAATCTGACCCGGTCATGAGTTGGACTACATGTGGTCGGTTGGAATTTCCACCGTGATCGAAGGGCAAGTCGAGGGACCACTGTTACCAAATATATATATATATATTTATTTATAAACAATGACACAGTCATGTTCACATACATATTACAGTATATATATTTCACGACGAAAGCTCAAATATATAAATCAAGCAGGAGTTGTCATCGAACATACTGCTGATAAGATGCTCAAGAGACAGATTAGACCAAAAGTTCCAAGAAACATTTCTGAAATGCCTTTCTCTTTCTCTCTGAGCCAGTGCTTTCGGACCCGTGCCAGCCATCCACAGCCGCCAAGAGTCATCCTGCATGATCCGGCCCACGACGAGTTCCAAGATTCCGCAGAGAATCACCAAGAAGTCCAGGACGATAATCCAATCCATGAAGATTTTGCAACCTAAAATCAAAAAGAACAGCGAAGGTCACAACAATTCCCACCAAAATGGATTCAAATCCAACCGGTCTTCTTGAACCTACTCTCGAACCTCTACTATTATAATTCAGAGGCGAGCGTTAAGCTAAGGTTTTATTGAAGCGGTGTGTATACATACAGTATGGAGATGTATGTATAGGATGCAGATCTTTTTGGTAATCCCAGAAACATTTTGTTGAGTGTTTGAAGGGGCGGTTTGTTTTGATGGCTCACAAAGGGACTCAATCCGTTATGAACAATCCGTATTAAAAAGCTTGCGTGTATGTTTTGTGGATTACACTGTCTCAAGTAAACAAGTACTTTGAGTGAGCAAAAGGTTCACTATGTTGGAGGATGGCAATAGGGACTGGCCAAGGTATGGACCCAGAAGATACTTGGCCCCACAAGACAGTCAGGGGGTTTGATTGTGGCCTGTTGGAAGAATCGAACATCACCACTGAAAATGCCAAGGTGTCCTTAGGTGAAGTTGATAACTCTTTCTTTTCCATGTCTGGTGACGCTCCAGATTGCAATCTTGGGGTACTGGTCAAACTTCATGGCACATATCGGCTACAAATTGTTCTATAGAGCCTTTGCTTTTTTCTTGCAAGCACAAAACGCAATGACCCTTTGGTTGCAACCGGCGCCCCAACAATCCCCTATGGCAACACACATCTCAAAATGACAATATAGTTAGCAAACCACATGAATAAAGTTGGAAAGCCTCTGGTATCTTATCTTGTTTGTGCTCACCATCTTCCCAAACAAATATCTCCCAAGTATCATCTACTCCCAACCAGCTGTCTCACTAGCCCTACAAAAACATGTAATTGATATTTCACCGCCACCGCCACTGTCACCACTATACTTGATGATGAGAGAGGCCTTCCAAACAGAAGTGCAGCAGGAACTCTCCGATGTAAATTGCCAGGCAAATATCTGAGACAATCCGAAAGCCCAAGGGTGTCGTCAAATTCTGTGCGCGGCAATCGATGTCGCGACAGGTGCAAATTCCATCGATGAGGATCACCACGACGATGAAGTTCGCCAACCGCCTCCCGATGAAGACGAGAGAAAAGGCTTGCCAACAAAACCACCGAGGCTCCAAACTAACTTACGAAACTGCAACAAGGATATCTTCTGGCTTGGGATTCCCTGGCCTGGAAAGCCCGCGTTCCAATAAGGTGGCCAAAACGATCGGAGAATTTGACAAAGATCGCTACCCAGTTTGGCCGCCCAGTCCTTACATGTATAGACACTGGATACAGCTGTCTTGCCACAATTTAATACAGATTGCTACAGTACCTGGTGCTGATCCCATCCCCAGGCCTGGTACCTGGTAAGCTCCTCCCTTCAAAAACCTCCCAAAACCGACGAAGCTTCCTCCTGGACCACTTCCAGACCGCACACGAAGACCTTCACCAGGCGCACCTGCTCTTGGAGCACTTGCTGGCTGAGCGCTTGAACCGTCCACGGAAGGAGTCGTCATCATTGGACTCCTCGCTGGGGCCCACCACGAAGTCGGAGTTCACGGCCTCGGAGTTCATTGCGAGCTCTTGTGGTTTGACTGGATAGCAAAAGTATTTTGTTCACCAAAATTGTGTGGTCACCTTGATTTTGCCTGTGTGGTTGATAAGAAGGACTGCATGCCAAGATTGGTGCCCTTGAGTTTTTCCTTCCTTCACTGTCAGAAGACATGGCCAGAAACTCGGACTGTCCCTCGTGCCAAGCGTCGATGCGCTCCACCTTCTTCCGGGACATCGCAGACATGGGAGCACCCAAATACTGCCTCAATGCGGCGAGGACCAATGGACCCAATGGACTACGTATAGTGAAGTCATAGTGAAGTCCAGCCCTGATAGAAGGACACTTTTGGACGCCATGCAACTCAGTGAGAAAGCTGGCAAACCAATTGACCTGAGAGTTTTTCATTCTTTTCCGGTTTGCATAACTGCATATAACTGCTTCCCTGTGGGTGGAGAGACAAGTTCCAAGCTCAGCCACCCGATCACGCTCATCCGGGTTCCGCTGCGTGCAGTGGCCAGCGCCGACATGATTGGAGACACGTGGGGCAGTCCGTGAGGACTAGCGGATCGATGAATAACACGTGTCGTCAGGGACGCTTGGACGGAAGTGCTTTGCCGTTTCTGTGAGAGCGAACACGTTTGATACGTTCGAAACATTAGCCTAGATCATGAGCTGGAACTCAGCTTCAATATGCTTCAATCAAGGCCGGGACCATGGGAAATGTACTTTAGTATATGCTGGAAATGGGCCAACCAAAACGTCGAAGGATTGAGGATACAATTTGTCATAAATTACATGCTTTCAGTATGGTCATATCAGCAGAGCAAGCCTGCTGCAAACATCCAGAACCGTCTTTAAAGATTGAACGTCTGAAGCACATTGCCGGCGGATGATCAAACAACACCATTTGGTGTGACTCGTGGCCGGATCTGGTGGAAAGTATTCCAAGCTGACGCATTTGCACAGTGATGTCCAATGCAATTGTCGGACAAACATCGAAGAAGTCAAGTGGTGAATGTGCGGAGTTGTACCAAGTTGGCCTCTGACCACAGTTCTATGGAAGTTGTTCTAGGTCCTTCTTTCCCATCGGTCGCATTCTTACAAGTTTAGACGATTCCTCCAAACCAAACAGAACGTCAAGGACCCTGGAGTGGTTGGTGGAGATACACAGTTGTTACAAAAAGACACCTTTAAAGTCATTATGAAGCTATATGAACATATATAATCGTCACTCAGGAGTAGATAAAGCTTGAGGATCAAACAATTAAGAAAGCAACTAACACAATTGCAACATCTTGTGTGGCAGTTATTCTCTCTGCTTCTGATATATATATATGTATTTATATACCACAGACCTGGTGCTCCGCGCAACGCACCATATCCGCTATCATCTCACCAGGCCGCATATCCCCGAGAGAGAGCGTAATGCCGCAAGGCCACCTGGCATCACAAAGTCGTGCGCTGGTCCTTGGGAGAGCCATCCCCAACTTTGCTTGGATGCTGATAAAATCTGATAAAGCACTGTAAGGATTGCAGCTACATGTTGATTTCACTTGCTCTAAAACATGCCAAGCCTTCGATCTTTCGTATCTGATCTCAACGATGGGGTGCCTTCATAGCAGGGTCCCCTGAGGATGGGTCCCCTGAGGTGCAAGCAGGATGGGTCCCCAGGGGCCGCACCTCTTCCGGAAGGCCCAAGCACTTTCCAAAGATGCTGCTGGCCTCAGAAATCTAGAGTGCCCCCTGCTGGCTCCAAGTTTTGGGTTGCTGTGGTTGGGAGCCCAGGTATACCAGGTAGTAGCAAGGGGATTCTACCAGTGGGTGATGTGAAGAAGTCGCAAACCAAAGTGAAGAGGAAGAAGTCCGCTTATGACCATAGTTTCTGACTACTTCTCAAGTCTGTTGACTAACCGCAACCATTATGTGTATACCGAAAGTCAAGAGTCAAGACCCATCCTACCCTGCTTCAGTTCTCCCCAGTGGCACATTCCTTGAAGGTCTCGCCAGTCTCCGTGACCTCACGAGTTGAACGCACACAGCACGCAGCACACCGCGGGCAGCTGGGCTTGTTGGCTTCGGCGAAATAAATAGCTCAGTTCAGAACATTTCAGAACACAGCCTGCGCAAAAGAAATAGAGAACAAGTCATGGAAAGACCAGGCCCTTGTGATTAGGGTCTGATGTTGGGAGCAAAGAACAAAGAACATGTTCTTTGAAGACACACCAGCTTTCTCACTAATTATATATGAGGGACGGTCAAAACTCCTTATTCTTCTTCAACTAAAAACTGGACGTCATCGGTTTTGAATTGGACCTGATCGTTTTACAGTGTCTTGAGTTCGCCGCATACTTATGATCATATACACCGCTGGGGTTATCGGTTTTGAGGTAGACCTTCTCGTTTTGCAGGGTTTTGTCCACAAACCTACCCCTCTTTACCTAAAGTGGTCTTCGCATGTGTTATACACATATATATATATATATACATATGTGCATGCTCGCCTACTATTTGAAGGCCTATAGAGTCCCCTCCAAGACTCCGCCCCAGTTCCGCCCTCATGACCATCCAGCACCGATGATCGGATCCCTCGGATCCCTCGGATCCCCATCCGCCTCGGTGAAGACGTCGGGCGCCTGGTGATTGCAGCCGTGGGCGATGAAAAAGAGGCCTCCAGCGAGCGGGGCCACGAGGGACACGGTGTGTTGGGGAGGGGGACACGGTGTTTCCTCGGTTTGGCACCGTTTTCCCCACCCACCGGTGGGACCTTGGGAAGGAGAAAATCCTCTGTACCCCACGTAGTGGAAGGGCCATTAGGGGCGTGACATGGCATGGACGTGTGCGGAAGTTTGCGTGGTAAGAGCAAATTCTGTTTTGAACAAGATCCCAAGTCTTTGGTCGCTCCAGATTCCAGATCGGATGCCCTTGAAGGCTTACCGGTTTGGACAGATGTATTGATTGTCTGTTCGAAGTACGGTCAGTGTCCTCAATGGATGTTCCGCGGAGCCAAAAGTACGGGCGCTCTGTCAGAGTCCGCTTTCACTGAAGAGCAAGCCTGGAAATCTTCAGAGCCCCTTGAAACACTTCTTGGCTGCAGGAAATTCTTGGCTGGCTTGGGGAAACAGCACTTCTTGGCTGGTCTTCTGGCGTATCGTATTTCGTGACGGCCAAAATCCACCAAGGGACCTCTTGGGGATGGGATGGTCAGGAGAGATAGCAAATAGCCCATTCCGAGCCTCTTTCCATTCTGAACCAACCCAAGATGAGCGGACCCAAACCATAGAAGTTGCCCAATCCTCATACATGAAGAACCCTTCTAACCGTTCTAACCTTGGCAGCCCTGGCCTTTCACAGGCCCTTCTGGTCGCTGCCAGAGGGTCTCCACATCACCGTCCACCCGTTCATAGCGAGGGTGGAGGGCCTCAAGGCCAGCCACGAAACGGTCACCGAGCTCAGGGGCATGGGCAGCTTGGGAATAAGGAAGAACACCGGATCCTCACGGTGAACCTCCCTTGTTTGGGGGTGAGACGTCCGGGGTGAGTGTATTGGTTCACACCGGTGAGGATGAAAGAAAACGCGAAAACTCTTTCTCTCTCCAGCTACATAGGCATAGCGGCACACCCCCAAAATAACACCATGACTTCTTCCAACATGGGAGGGTCCGCTGAACTCTTTGTCATTTGACCAACTATCGTGGTGATTTGCGGTGGAGTGCGGAACACTTTGACACTGGCTTGTGCTTACTGCGCTGATACGAATGGATTGAAGAACGCTACATAAACTTAATGCGACTTTGATTGAAAAGGTTGCTTTGAGTACTCTCCAGCATGACCTTGGGATAGTATTGTATCTAAATATACAACACATGACAATACATAAGGCCAATGTTACCAGATATCTGAATTGCACTCATTGCTCTTAAGCCGCACAAAACCTCTCCTCAAAGGGAAGCCGATGTATCCATTCCCCCGATTCCACGGACATCCTGCATGCCAAAGGCGCCGCTCCGCCGGTCAGTCGGAGCCTCGCATTTACGACCCCGGATCGGATCGCTGCGAAGGCGAATTTGGGGAAGAACGTGGCCAGCAAGTGCCCTCCCTCCTGCTGATTGGCAACGCATACTGTACATGTCATGGATTGCTTTTCTTTTTTTGGTTTATTTATTTGTTTTTTTAATAGTTACAAAGTTACAAAACACTGTCCACCAGCACTCGGCTGCAAGATTCAACTGGACATGCACTTACACAGCTACATATCAGCTCAAAGACTCCTATGTGCGCTTGTGCTTTGCAGGAATCGGCTCGATGTCATCAGAATCATCAAGAGAAAACTCATACTCAGAAAACTTCAACCATCTCGATGTCCTTCCAAAACATGGTTTCCCATTTCCCACCCGTCAATGTTTATGTATTAATGTATGCTCCCGGACTCAAAACAAAACCAATCTCTGATGTCTTTGACCAATCCGTGCAAACGCTTATTTCCGTACCCGTTCAGTTTGGCCATTTCTGGGATCTCCCCACCTTGACATCAACCCACTTTGGGGGCAAACCCACAGGTTCATTGGCTAGGAGGACCCTTCAACTAGTCGGCAAGCCTGTGGTACGGATACTGGGTTTTAGATCCCATGTTCACCCATTGAAATTGGGATCGAAGGAAAAGTGAGGTGTCTCGCTTCCAAGCAGCGCCCTGGTGACAAGCAAGCATCGCAGGAGGAACTTCAGCCAGGGGCCCGGAGACATGGCCAAATCAGAAAAGCCGTCAGATTTGTAAAACAAACATCTCTATAGTTACCCTGAGGGTTCTCAGGGTTAAACAAAACCTGGCAGGCATCTGTGGCTTGCTAGGAGCCAGTTCGGCATTGTATTTTTGTTGTCCGTTTTGGTGAAGCGCTATGTTTCATGCCACATGAGCCCTGGAACTGGGAAACACCAGAAAAAAGTTTTGGTGTCGCATGCCATGTGTTGGCCGACGTATGCCATGTGTTTGCAAACAGGATTTTAAAGTGCTTCATTTCCACGGAGCAGCAGGAACCGGAGATTGGCCAACTCTCGGTCTGGGAGGGCCTCTCTCGGTCGTATGCGGTCGTATCGTTATTGATCACATTTAATCACTGCTGCTGTGTGACAGCTGTGACTCGTGCGGCCCTCGCTCCCATCCCATGCACAGTCTGGACACGATTCGCCTCGACAAATATCGTCAAACGTCGTTCCGGAACCTCGATCGTAAAGCGTCCCAACGTCGTTTGATGGCGGATCCCAGTTGCTACAACTCGCGTTCAGCGTCGCTTTCAAAGGATATGATGGGCATGGCAAGTCATGATCCGTCCCAAGGCTCATTCCAAGGTGGGCAATTCAGATTGCGTCTCTGACTGAATAGGAATCCTCTTTAGCAAAAGGATGTAGAGTGTTCAGTGAGAGGCCTTGTGAACAGTCTGATTCTCCTGCTACTACTTGGTCATTTCTCATGGGTCATGAATCGATTCCTTCTTTGGGGCCGACTCATACCATGACCGACTGATGGAGGCCCAGCAACAAAATGTCAGAGCACGCGCGCACACACACACACACACACACCTGAACTCACACATGAATTTTCAAACAAGACTTCTGTCTAAGTGTGCATCGAAGAATCTAAGCGGTCAGTCCAAGTCTTTTTGCCTCTCGCGGAGCCAGCGCAGCGTGTGCATGTTTCCGCAGGAGTTTCCCCCTGCAGGCTTAATCGGCTTAATCAAACATAATGACCCTGCTAGGCTTGGGGTCCACCTTTGAGCATCCTTTGCTTGATTTTGACGTTTTGCTCGTCTTGTGGCGTGTACCAAAACTGGATAGAACAGGAACTGGGGACAGTTCAGGAACCATTCTACAATTCACTTTGAAACTTTAGGCACCCAACCAAACCAACATTTGTTTCTGAGATGAAGCCACCTGGCGCTTCTGTGCAGATCCGCGCAGTGAAGGTGTAGGCCTCCCAGCTTCAAGAGTTCACAGCTCCCCTCAAAGCGCTGTTGGAAGGTTGGACCCCCCTGGCACCCACCCAGGCAGCTCAGACTGTCCGGCATGGAGAAAAGCGACGTCCTCACCTGGCGGGCGCTGCTTCGGTGAGCAATGGATCCAAGGAGTCGATCGGTAGGTAGGGAATGGATCTTGAAGAGCCGACGATGACTTTTGGACGTACTGAGTTGCGAAGATGGATCCTTGAGGCATCCAGTGTCTGCGTGTGAGAAGTAGGGCTGTGTTTCCCACGAAAGCTGCAAAACTGTAGTTTAATCAAGTTGCTTCAATGTACGTGTTCAAAGGAATCATGATTCTACCAGAAACAGCAATAAAAGTTGACTGTTGATGAATAACCCCATACGGAGTTCTAAATCTCTAAGCGGGTGAAGAGTGAAACTTCTAGCCGCACTTTTCCTCCTCAAGCAGCTTGAGTTGACGACAAGTCGACAGAAAGTGATGTGAGGATTCGGGATCAATCACTGGGAGTCTCGTATCAAACATCCGCTTCACCTCAACCTGGGATGTTGGCCTCAGGCCTGGCTCCACTTCTGAGCCTTTCTTCACAAATTTTCCTCAAAGGGGGATATCCTTGGAACCTGCACCGGAGTAGAATACCACTTGATCGATCCACTTGACGAAAGTGACCTTGCGGACTAAACGCATGTCCTTGCTGACAAGCAAAGAACAAAGTCAAGTACCACACATATTCCCAAGCCTGACTATGTTGTGTGGTCATAAACACAGTTTTCATCAAACTGGTTCATGCGACCAAAATGAAGCGGGAGGTACTTTTCATAGTTTTGAGCAGCTAGCACTGACCCACTCCTGATTGTCAATCCCCACGCATCTGGGCTTGACACTTCCAGTGAAGAGCGAATCGCGTCGGGTGATCTAAGATAAAATAAAGATCCTTGGAGACCACCAAACACTCCAGAGCTGTTCAGCTAATGTGGCAGTCCTTCACCAACCAAAAATAAAGATGTCCTGCCCCAGGTGGGAAATAACTGGCTTCTTGGAATCAAGAACTGTTCAGACCGTCCAAAAGGTCGGCGAACAGCTAACCACATCTGCACATGTTTTCGGACAGGTAGGTGCCCAACAGCTCTTGGACGATGGTCAGGTCGGCGATTGTTCTCAAGCCCCGGTCAATGCTTGGTCAGATTCCACTCCGACACGGTCGGTGGACTTGCAGGATTGGTCGAACCGTGCGAACCGCTGAGTCTGAGATATCACACCAAGCCACGCACAAGCTCTGGTACAACCCAGCACCCCGAGCAAGCATCATGTTTATTCTTGAGAGAATGCAATATCACCATTCATACATAGCACGAATGTCACCAAGCATGACACCTCCCTGTTTCAGTGCCACTTTCCAAAAACATAAAATACATCCAAAACGATATCTTTTCGATCGGCACTCGTGGTGAAATTCATAGCTCAAAGGGGCCGGAACAAAGTTTAGAACACAAAATCTTGGTTGATTGATGTTGATTGCTAAAGCTCATCCTTAAATGCGCTTGCTTGTCCTTTCTTTAGGAAAAAGGGGGGCTTTAGGGCTCCAAAGGCTTCTTGTTGACATAACCAGGAACACAGGGCACACAGGAGCGGCCGTGTTTTTGCCCAACACCCAAGGAGCCAGGAGATGTGAATCAGCTCCGACCTTCGCGAACCTCCGAGGTACGTGCTACGAGCGTTGTGTACCGTACGTTCCCGGCTCGGTAGGTGCTACGAACGCACTCTGGAGAGAACCAAATGACAAATTCTGTCATTGATGTGTTCTTATTGTTTGTGGTGTGCATCTGAAGGTACACTAGCGCCAAATCGCTAGCCGCTAGCCAAACAGATCATCTGATCTTGACTGATCTTGAAGGCCCCAAGATCAGAGTCTTGGGGACTTCTGTCGTTGAGCCTAATCGGTCACGCAGACTTCATCAGCTCTTGGGCTTTAGAACCACCGAGACCAGCCCATGATCGGATGGGAAACTCAGCGATGGGAAACACCTCAGTGGCCGGTGGACGATCTCGGAACCCGGTGGACAGGACCCGGTGAACGCTGGCCTGTTGGGTGCTTCGTTGAGGATGAGACTTGTGCTCTCATGATGGTGACAAGCATGTGAATAACAATGGGATATTGCAGTTGGTTGGCATTGTGTGGTGTCTTCGTGATTCCGCAAGACTTCAGCTTCAGTCACAAAAACAAAGCGAATAACAAGAGATGGGGCCCGTACATCCAAACGGACTGTGCAAAGAGACCCCGAGACGGTGAAACCAGAAAGCATTCCAATGCTTTTCCATCCAACGAATTCCTGGTTGACACTACAGGTGTTTTGCACGCCATCAAGGGGTAGCTTTGGTATGTTGACCCATCAGGTCCTTGCGTTGCCGATCAGCACGCCATCGGTCATGGTGGATGATCGATCCGAGAACGCCGAGAACGTCTGAGCTTGGGTGATCGGTCCGTGCTGTACGAGCTTCGCTGGTCCAGTGCTACACCATTCGACCAAGCTGATATACCTCACGCCACTGTCTGGAACCGTCTGATCTCTTTCGACTCGATATGGATCTTGCACAAATCATTACCAAGTCGGGTTTGCAGTCATTGCAGTCGATTCTACGGTGTGGAAAGGAATACCGGAATAACCTGTTTTTTACATATAGATTTGATTCATTGATTGATACAGGCTCTTGCTTGGAATCAATTCGATAGGCAGGTTTGCCACATAGTCCCACTTGGGCATTGAGCATTCTGAAAAGTATTGCCTCATTCATCCCCGCAACCCTGAATCCGTAGCAACAGTTTGAAGATACTATGCTGGAAACTTTTGGACATACAGAGCCCCAAAATCAGAGCCCCAAAACCCACATGCTGCAGTCTCCAAACATAGCATATCCGCTCAGCGTGACCGCCGAGCGACCGTCTTTGACCGTATTCGACCGTGATCGCCGAGCGACGCGCCCTCGATGTACTCCCCCTTGCCAGTGTTGTCCTGAAAAAAGCGTGGTCAGTCGAAGGCCAATCGGGGTAAGTACGAACTAAGTGATGCGGGAACAACACCGGATGTGGATCTGATTGGGTTTATCATGGTTTATTCTAAGCAGGCCAAGTAGGCCAAGTTTCTCCTACGTACCGACGATAATTGTCTTATTTTTCGAACAACGCTTTGGCACCGATTGCCATCATGAAGACTCTTCACTGACTGGGAAACAATCATGGACACTGAACAGGAAGGTGCTCCACAAAACCAATTAATAACAATTTTAATGATTTGGGATGATTTGGGAATGTTTTGGGGTTTTGCTGTGACATGCTGTGACTACGTGCAATCGACTATGTTCTCATAGCAACAATCTCTCTCTGACTCTGATGGCAGCCACTACGCAACAAATCTATCTCACCCGCTGACTCCCTCCGTCTAAACTGGAGGCCTTGACCATCGTCTTGGTCACCCGCCCTCTGACCATTGGACATACAAATCGATGCACGGCCCGCGCTGCGCTGCAGTGCCCACCTTCACCGTCTGCAGTACTTCGAAGCTCGCGAGCGCAAAAATGATGTGATCCTCGCCGCAAACGCTCGGTCTGGACGCCTCGATCGTTGGCATCGCCTCGATCGGTGGATATTCTATATGCGGAAAAGTTCAGTTGTGAAGTCAATATTGTGAGTCTCATCAGGGTCTATCTACTCAGCGCCAGCCATGGACCCAGATTCGTCCTCAAATGAGACGTCTCCAGGCAAAACTGACGATGCTTGGAAGGTCTCAAGCAGTCCTTAGG